CTTTTGGGTTCCCTTTATAGCTGAGGTGGGAAACTCAGGCTCATGGGCCAAAAGCCACAACTCCAGGCCAGCCCTCTCACTGGCCTTGGTTCACACCCTCCTTGAGTGATTTTTGCCTGACTGGAAGGTGTCCTTGATCTCTGATAATGACTGTTGTTTGTTCGGATGGAGGACAGAGAGTGTGTATATGCAGAAGCTATGAATGCAGAAGTACAAAGGTGTCCTGGCTCCCAGTTTCAGACTCAGCATTTGGACTCTTGGCTCGAGTATGATGCTTGTTCCAAAATTCACTACAGTGCCCCAACATAGTTCATGTTACAAAGTCAGAAGGCACAGCAGAGCATTAAGGTACATGGCCAGGTGTAAGCTAAGATGCTGTCCAAACAACTGCCATGTCCCATAAGCTCTCCTTTTGCAGAGTGGGGAGGACACGGTCATTTGTGTGGTTGTCCCCAACCTCAAGACTGGGCAAGCAAGTGGGCGCTCCTTCAAGCAGGCTGAGCGTGCAAACTGTGTTCATGCCACTGAGGCTGCCTTCATTGCCTTGGAGATAGAGGTGGAGCTAGCTTGCTGCCCGATTTATCCATAGGCACCTCTCCTGAGAAGAATGGTTCTTTGCTAACAAGGGGTAGCTGTGGAGTCAAGTTAGCTGGTTGGGATGCAGTATGCAAAGTATCCATTGACACCTGGACCAGTTGCTGTCCTAACAATCCACTGGACCCCTTACCTGGGTCCTGATCATTGCCTCCCAACTTGCTGGGTCTCCTCCCAAGTCTCCCATTTCCTCCCACTCCTCCTCCCCATCTGACCACTCACAGCAAGCAGTGCCAACTCACCCATGAGGCGGACTGAAGTAGCCGCCTGGGGCGGCAGAATCTCATGGGACGGCACCCCCATGAGCGCTCTGCTCCTCCCCCCCCCAACTCACCAAATGATAATTAAGTTGCTGTGCAGACAAATCCCCTGCATGTTTTCTCCAAAGTAGGTTTCAATTAGTTCCATGGGACTTACTCCCAAGTTAGTGTGCAGAACATTGCAGCTTTAATTAAACTGGGCTTTGAAATCCTGCACAAAAGTGCCAAGTTCGTAATAAAATCAGCATCCAACAATCTATAATTAGGAAGGCAAAACGGATCAAGAATGTATTGCTCTTTTCTAGGCATTAAGGAACATTGAATTAGCCTTGTAATTAATGTCTACCATGCATTTAAAAACTTCATACTTTTATAACTCCCAGCCCTTCTCAAACAGATTCCTGCCTATTGATGTGTCCGCTTCAGTGGAAAAATGTAATCTGAAGGTTTATTGAGTGAAGCACACTAATGGTTTTGGGCTTTCCCTACTCCAACTCCTGTGGGGCGGGGGGAATACAGTATATTGAAAAATTAAACAGTTGAAAACTTAATCCAGTTGCATCCATATTTTTATTTAAAACCAAAAACCTCTCAGTAGCTGCTGTTGTGAAATATAAACTCCCAATATTTGCATAAAGGATAGGGGGTAGATTTGCATTGCATAATGACAAACACTGCAATCCTCTACTCACCCGAGAATAGGATTCACTTCAGATTAGACCTGGTTAAGTCTAAGAGTGCAATCCTATACACATCTACTCAGCAGCAAATCCCACAGAGTTCAATAGGGCTTACTCCCAAGTTAAGTGGGCATAGTATTGCATGTCTCATGGACTTCAGAGAGATGCACAGGACTTCCAGGAGTGACATTTGAAGACTGCAAAAGAGTGTGGTGGAACCCTTTGTGATGGCTATCACAAAGAATTTATAAAATGTTTCACCTGAAGAGCCCAGCTCTGTGTGTGCCTCTGTGCTAACTATACACCAAGCCGAGGAGACGCAAAATTGAGAAGATCCATAACTGAGAAGGTCCATGTAGAGGCACCAAATTTTGGGCTCACTCTGGGCGCCATATTACCAAAGTCCACCCCTGGGAGTGAGCTGTGGAGAAAGAAGAGGTCAGAGCGGAGTGAATCTGAGCAGCACTGGAAGCCGGTTGGTGAGCACAGCAGAGGAGCAGAACCCCCCTAATGCAGCCAAATGACAGAGATTTGTTCAGCGCAAGCACACAACACCACTATTCCATCATCCAAGCTGCTTTCCTATTAATTTCTGGGCACAAAATGTTTGTTTTCATCCATAGAGGTCCCTTCAAGTCTACACACAGTTCTTCTATCATGACTTTAAAGCTTTAATGGCTGTACCCTTTGAACACTGTATTCAAGCAGCAAGAAGGTGAGAGCTGTTCTTGGTGGAAGCTGTGAAGCTTCTTCCCCACAGAAATTACTTTTGGGAATGCTGCAACACTTTCTTATTTGGGCTGCCGGGGTAGGATTCAACACCCAGTTGTGATTTAATGGACTAGGAAAACGTGTCTTGAAATCCCTGTTCAGCCATCTCGCTCGCTGCATGACTTAAGCTGACACAGGCGTTCTCCGTCAGCCTAACAGACTGCCCTTTGGCTGCTGTGGTGATAAACAAACTCGTGTATGTCACCCTGACCTCCTTGGGTAATAATAATTTTTAAAAGTAAGTGTGACCTGAAACAAACATTGCAGTGTGAAGTGCTTTTGTTCAGGGTTCCAGCCAGCCAGCTATACCCTCGTCCAAGATACTCTAATCCATCCTGGATAGCTCAATTGGTTAGAGTGCGATGCTGATAATGCCAAGGTTGTGGGTTCGATCCCCAAATGGGACAGCTGCATTATTCCTGCATTGCAGGCGATTGAACTAGATCCTCAGGGTCCCTTCCAATTCTACAGTTCTATAATTTCTTTCATTTCTGTGATCTCTTGCCTGTTTTTTTGTTTCCCACCCACCCCAACAGTCAGCCAGCATTCACAGTGACTCAACACACTCAGTCTTCATTGGGTTATCCTCCCTACCTGCTACTTTTAACTATTTCCCCCGAAGCTTCTTTTTTTGTACTTTGCCATTCACCCAAGTCTCCTGACAATTCACTTTTCTGCACGGATGCCACCATTTTGGCTACATAAACGCCTGCATCTGCACTCTCGTTTGAACAACAGAAAGCGACAGATAAATTAAACGTCTTGGGTTTAGCAAACAGGAACATTCATTGGTTTCATGATAATGCATTCTACAGTTTAATACAGAGTTTTATCTTACTGATTTGAGTAGAAGTTTCAGCAGTATTAAGTGTCCTCTTGTCCTTCAGGCAGACCAGGAAAAAAATCTAGCAATAAAACCAAATAGATTGACTTTTTTTTAAAAAAAAAAAGTTATTACATTAGGGTGCAAAACTCTGTACACTTACGTGCAGGTAAGCTCTATTGCAGCAGTTCTCAAACTCTGGTCCACAAGCATCATCTGGGTGGGCTGTGGCATGTCTGTGGATTTCAGGTTGAAGACACAAGATGACACATACATCATATTAAATATTCCTGTTGATTTTAATTCAATAGAATCATAGTTGGAAGGGACCCAAGGGTCATCTAGTCCAACCCCCTGCAATACAGGAATTAATAATTGCATTTTATTGCTTCTTTTTATTTCTGATATTATATTCCATTGTATTGCAATAAAAGCAATATAATAAAATACAATGTATAATAAATAATTGAAGCAATAAAATGCAATAAAAAACTGTACAGTATTTAGCACAGCACATAATTGCTACAATAGGCAGAGAGATCCTAAAGTAGTCCACTTTATACCCTTAGCAATTTGCAAGTGGTCTGGGGAAAGAATGGGAACCATGTTCTCTTGAACACAGATGGACTTACTCCAGAGTAAACTTACATAGATTGTGTTGTAAAAGTTGGGAGACCCATACAGTATGTTCAGAAGGTATCTTATGTACCCAACACTTTCCTAAAAGGACAAAGAGACGGTGCTTTTAAACAGAAGTCACACCACACATCTAAAGCACACTTATACCGCATTACATGGCAGGCTAGAGTCTGAAACAAAGATGTGCTCTCCCAAGCTCACATTCCCAACATGTTTGGACTCCTGTCTCAGTGACTTCTCTGCTGGCTTGGTCATGTCCACAGAATGGGAGATGGCAGGATCCCCAAGGATGTGCTCTACAGGGAGCTGGCTTCAGTCCCCAGGCCTGTTGGCAGACAAACTCTGTGTTAAAAAGATGCCTGCAAACATGGCATGAAGGCTGGCAACATCAACCCCACCATGTGGGAATCCCTTGCTGGCGACTGCAGTGCAATCCATAGCAGTGACCAGAGGAGGAATGACTGCTGCTAGGAGCACAGAGAGAAGAAACGCCATGCTGCATTTGCAGCAGCACAACTAGATCACTTCATCTGCCCCAGCTGCAACAAAACATGTCCCTTCTGTATCAGTGTCTACAGCAGGTGCTGCAACCTTCTAACAATTTGACTTCACCCTCAAAGTTACATTCTTCCATTGTCTTCCAAAACAGATGGATGCCAACCAACCAACCAACCAACCAACCAATGACCACCACTTTAAAAGTCATGGCTTCCCCCAATTAATCCAGAGAACTATAGTTTGTTACAAGTACTGGGAATTTTAAGGAGCCCTCTATTCCCCTCACAGATCTACAACCCCCAGAGGTTCTTGGGAAGAATAAGTCATAAACCACCATGAGAACGATAGATCAGTTCTCAGGATTCTTTGGAGAGAAGCCACGGCTGTTGATGTGCTATCATAGTGCTTTAAATGTAAGGTACGGATGTGGCCACATCCCACACTTCAGAACAAGCACTGCTTCTGTTCCTTTGGCTGTGGTATAAAAGTCACAAATGTTCCACTGAGCAACTGCTAACTTCGCAGAAAGAAACGGCAGAGCTGTCACAGAACGTATAATCTAAAGTTCAGGCTAAGTTCAGCATGAAATATTCAGAAGTCCCTGAAACAGCCCCTTGACAGGGGTGTAACCGAGGATTTTTGCACTTCTCCAAAAAATCCCCTTTCAGTAAAGCTTTTTCCACACTCCTGCCTTGACGTCCCCTGTAATAATGATGTGACCTTTTGTTTCAGCAGAACTTCAAGAAAGTGTGACTCTTTAATGGCTTGCATAGATGGGATGGGGGAGTAAAGACTATAGTCATCGCCATGGCTTTACTTCAGCCAGAAGAAATGCAAGAACATACCATGAGCCCTGCTGGATCAAGCTGTTATAAAAGTTGTTGTTGTTGTTTAGTCGTTTAGTCGTGTCCGACTCTTCGTGACCCCATGGACCAGAGCACGCCAGGCACTCCTGTCTCCCGCAGTTTGGTCAGACTTATGTTTGTAGCTTCGAGAACACTGTCCAACCATCTCGTCCTCTGTTGTCCCCTTCTCCTTGTGCCCTCCATCTTTCCCAACATCAAGTAGTTCACCCATTTAGCATTTGATAGAATGTATAGAATTTAGCATTGAATAAAAATGTATGTACTTTTGTAATCCCCGCATCTACACTCTATAATGGAACCTATGCATCAATGTGCTAATTTCTATGCCATGTGGACTTCTCAGCCCTGACCCCCTATCTTTCTAAGTGCAGTTTGCATAGTTTAGGAATGGAATGTTAATGTGAAATTACCTTGAATCCTTCCAGGCATAGGAAACTATAGAAATTGTATGTTGTGGACTCTTTGAGGGTCTGGATGTCAAGAAAAAGGACAATAAATGAGTAAAATGTTAAATCCTAAGATGCCAAGGGGCACCAAAGATAATGGATGGAATGAGCTAACGAAGCCAAGCAAGACAGTTTTAGCTCCCTGACCTGTGACCTTCCCTTTCATGCGTACATTCTATGAGCAAAAAACCCTATAAAAGCTGTGTTAAAACGTGTCTCAAACACAGTTCTCCTAACTGGGGGTTCTCTGAACTCCTGGTTTGAGTAACTGTTCCTACTGCAATAGCTTATCTCTCAATAAACTGGGTCCCTAGTGGATGCTGAGCTCATATCTCTCTCTTGGCTGTGTTTTTCTTTAAATGTCATTCCTTCACCTGGGCATGAACTATTGAGAGCTGGTTTAGAAGTAAATTCTTACCGCAAGGCCAAAGACCATATAGTCCAGCGTCCTGTTCCCAAAGTGTTCAACCAGATGTGCCCATGGGAAGCCCAGAAGCAGAACCTGAGGGTAGCAGCACTCTCACCACCTGTGATTCCCAACTCGTATGCAGAGGCATACTGCCTCTGACAGTGGTAGTCAAACACAAACAAGTGGGACTTGGATGGGGCAAGCCACGGAGTTTAGTTTTTTCCCTTTTGAGCCAGCCCCCTGATCTTCTGACCCTTTGAAACCTTATTTTATTTTTTCAGCTTTCCTTACAGAGCGTCTGTCACACTGCAAAGTGCAGTGTTGCTGAGATTCTGGCCATCTGAATCTATGAAAAATGGTTCAGTGCAGAATGCTCCTGTTCCGGATACTCCATTCCATTCCCTTTCTCACATTCCTTCACCCTTCACCCTACATTCTGTGGCCACTGAGCATGCTCATTCCTCATTGGGCTGTTTTTGGGGTTGATGCCCAGAATTCTCTTCTAACCCTCCCACCCTCTTTTTGTATTTCAACAAACGTTGGGAGTTTCGCCAAGCCTCTGGATCCCTCCTTCTTGTGTGGGGATGATTACCACTTTGGCTACCAAAGGACCACCACTCTGAGATAAGAATGGGAATACAGTGATACCTTGGTTCTCAAATTTAATTCATTCCGGGAGTCCGTTTGACTCCCAGAACCATTTGAAAACCAAGGTGTGGCTTCCTATTGGCTGCAGGAGCTTCCTGCACTCAAAGCTGTGGAAGCCACATCGGACATTAGGCTTCCAAAAAATGTTTGCAAACCAGAACACTTACTTCCGGGTTTGCGGCGTTCAGGAGCCGATTTGTTTGGGAGCCAAGCCATTCGACAACCAAAGTACCATTGTACATACATTCTAAATGTTTAAAATAAACACCATAATAAATAAAAAGAGCATTTCTTTTGAATGCTTTCTTATGCAAGAGCTCTTGAAGCCCACTCCTTATGTGAACCCTGACAAAGTATGCATTTCCCTTTGTTATTGCACCGCTGCTTTCATCCATCCATAAATCTGAAGTTAAAAGGCCAGAGTCAATTAGTGGGTTTGGTCTCTCTTCTACCCTATATGAACATTTCAAAATAATTGGACAATTAGCATGAAGGAAAGAATTGCCCACAATTATAGAAGCCCCCACCTTCTTGATCAAGGATGGAGGTGAAAAGAAATTATATTGCAAGGGGTGCTTTAAAGAAGACACAAATACCAACATGGAATACTGCAGGCATAGACAAACTTGGCCCTCCAGATGTTGTGGGACTACAACTCCCATCATCCCTAGCTAACAGGACCAGTGGTCAGGGATGAAGGGAATTGTAATCTCAAAACATCTGGAGGGCCGAGTTTGCCTACGCCTGCTCTACTGCAAAAGAACTAGCATGAAATAATTGCATGGCTCAGCCTTCCCCCAGTCTGATGCTCTCCGTATGTCTTTGAGTACAATTCCCATCAGTTCCAGTATGGCTGTGTTGGCTGGGGCTGGTGTATCCAAAACATCTGGAGGGTACCACATTGGCAAAGATTGATGTAGATGAAGGATGTGAACCTGTGGCTCTTCAGATGTTGCTAGACTGCAACTCCCATCATCCTTGACCATTGGCCATGTTGGCTGGAGCTGATTGAAGGTGAAGTCCAGCAACATCTGGAGAGCAAGGCATTCCCCACCCTAGGTATAGATTATTTGTGTCATGATTCATATTTGTGCATGCTGCTGTATGTATACACTGTGGGAAACGATCGCCCATTGTTTCCAGTTGCACATACACAGAAAGGGTATGTACAATAATAATAATAATATACAAACCTTTTTCATACAGGCTATTTCCTATGCAAAAATGTGTTCCAGGTGGAATTTTGCTGTTTCAGGTAAGCCTAAGAGGGACTCTAAGAACATATAATTACAGCTCTGTCCTTTGCACTAGAATTACCGTAATGGAGAAAGTGTGAGTGGATTGGTGATGTCTGTGATGAAATTAAGTCAGAAAAGAAGATAACCAGGCATGGGGTGGCAGGGGAAGAAACTCACCCTCAAACTCCAGGGGGGCTGGCCCCTTAATTTTAAGTGTGGCCCTCTAGTCTATGAGCCTTTTGCATGCAGATGAGCCTAGGGTCAGTTCCTGTGTCCCAAGGCAGGGCTGGAATGTCTGAAACCTTGAAAAGCCATTGCTAGTCAGTGTGGAGCTTGATGGCTCAATGATGTAACACAGCCTCCGATGTTCCTAGATAAAATGAAGTAAGTCCAGGTGTGATGGGCTTGTAGGTTTCATTAAAGGGTCCGCTACCTTGGCCCTCCCCACAGCACTGACAGAAGCAGATGAATTTTGAAATGATGCTTGGGAAAACATTTTGGCTGAAAAGCCAAAGTCCTGCCATAAAATGGTGAAGAGTGGCCTTTTTTATGAAATAAAATAGGGAAAAGCAGAGATTAAATTGACACAGAGCTCAGCTGTGGAACGTCATTTTAACACCAGGACTCCGCTCTGGACAGTGGAAATAATGACATAGAGAGAGGGGATTGTTCACCATATACAGAGTGCATCTCCCTCTTTACTAAAGCAACCACAGCTCACCTCGCACAGGTTAACAGCGTGGCAGTCCGAACGGGAAGGGAATATCCTTCCTTCCACCGCTGAACGGTATTTTCCTAGTAACACAAAGTGTGAATTATGAGAAACAAATCTTAAAGAAGAGGAGGAAGAGGAAGACTTATTTCAAACGTGATAAATCTCCTGTGTGAATAACTTGCCAGGCAGGTCATTCCGCGCACGACCAACTTATCCAATATGCCACCATAGCAGAAGTTACAGCCCGAGGATTCTGCCGGTCTCCACCTCCTGCAGCTTTTGCAGCAGCGGACCCTAAAAAACGCAGCCAGGCAAGGGGCGGCTGGTGCCTCCCACCCCCCCTTCGGCATCTTAATTGGGAAATCGACGCGGAGAGAGGAAGGGAGATCGATCCGGCGGAAAGTTAGCCGAGGGAGACGCTGCGGTCGGGGGGCCAGGCGAGGCAGCGCGCTGTGCGCAGCAGCGCACATCTCCTTGGAACCGAGCGGACGCGGAACGGGCAGCCTGGCTCTTCCCCATCCGGCGCGGAGCACCTCGAGACCTCGGGTAAGCGCTGCTCTCCCCACTAAGCGTTTCGAAAGGCAGGTGCCCAAGGGCAAGGCAGCTTTAGCGGGTTGGCGAGAGCTTCTTCCTGGCTGCCTGGGGGCGCTTTGATAGACCCAAACCAGGCACAACGCGGAGCCCCAGGGGCGAGCCGGTCCTCGCGGGGCGCTGCTGCCGGAAGGTTTCTGGAAGCCGAGCTTAGCCCGGAGCGAGCGCGAGGTCAGGAAAGGGCCGCGCTGGGAGCGGGGTCCGGGGGAGACGCCGAGACAGGGCCCCGCTGCCGTGCCCCAGGAAGGCGCGCAGGGCCAGTAAAGAAAGACGCGCAGCCCCGATCCTCCGTAGCTTTGGCTCAGGGCCCCCCGCGTCGCTGCCTACGGCGGTTTCATCGACGCGCATTTTAGATTCATAACCGCTTTGTCACCAACCCGCCTTTCCCCATTTTTCCTCTTAAACCCAAAACACTTCTCAGCGCGCCCATCGGTTGGAGAGCTTGAGTGCGCCCAGAAGCTCCAGAAAGAGCGTTTTCTTCGCCCCAGGAACCCAGGGAACTCGACTCCGTGCCAGAACGAATCTCTGCCTTCTCTTCTCCCTCCGCGGTCTGCAGTGCCGCGCGGTTAGGTGGTGGATGAAGGGGAGAAGGCGGCCCTGGGGAGGAAGCAGGGGCGAGGATCTCCGGGCCCTGCTTCTTCCACCCGCCCCTCCAACGCGCGACCCAGACGGGGGAACCCTTCTCTGAAAACGCCCTTACTTTGGATATTAGGGGGTTAAGGAACTTCTTCTCTTCCGGCGTCCTTCAGATAATGAGCGTTTCCTACTTTATTCAGCCTTGCTTGAAATAGAAGTGGAAATCTTCTTCTTTTATATGAAGAAGAAGAAGGTGGAAACTTTCCGCCACGGGCGAAGGCGTAATGCGCCAAACCGTCACTAATTGCCTTGTGCTTGACTTGGCTGCCAATCGGTTTCTAATTATCCCACGTTTCGTGTTTTATCTAAAGCTAAATCAAACTCTTGCTCTTTTGGGGAATATCAGCCAGGCTTCATCTTAAACGGAGCGTTCAGAAACTCTGCCTTCTGGAGTCGCGGTGGTGCAACAGGTTAGTTGTAATCCATTTGGCAGATTCACAATTAAAGATTATTTGTAAAGCCCACTAGGAGATACTCCTGAGAAGATATGCTTAGCACAGCGTTAGAATAAATTGTTAAGTATTTATGTGCTGGTTTTTTGGATGTATAGCTAATGTATAGAAACCGAGAACAATACAGTGGTACCTCAGGTTAAGTACTTAATTCGTTCCTGAGGTCTGTTCTTAACCTGAAACTGTTCTTAACCTGAAGCACCACTTTAGCTAAAGGGGCCTCCTGCTGTCGCCGCTCCGCCGCTGCACGATTTCTGTTCTCATCCTAAAGCAAAGTTCTTAACCTGAAGCACTATTTCTGGGTTAGCGGAGTCTGTAACCTGAAGCGTATGTAACCTGAAGCGTATGTAACCTGAGGTACCACTGTACCTTATACCAAATCAGACCATTGGGCAATCTAACTCAGTGTCATCCACTGCTTAGCAACAGATATCCAGGGTTCAGAAAAACAGTCTTCCAGTCCTAGCTGGAAAAGGGAAAAAGGGAAAAGGCGGATCTAGACGGATCCTTGTGAATTCATATGATTTTTTCATTCAAATTAAATAAAACCACCATGATACTGTAGACCATTTCTTATTCTGTAGACTGCATCAAAAAAATCATGCATCCACTATTTCGTGGGGCCGCAGGGGTGCAAAAACATGGTTAAAAAACACGGATCCTCATGGATCCTCATGATTTTTGCACTAGATCAGCCCAAAGTCACCATCAGATCAAACATCATGGCCAGGGGCACAGCATCCACCACAAAAATCACGGATCCACGGCTTCCTGGCCATACCGTGGCCCAAAAATGTGGTTTTGAAACACGGATCCTCGCGGATCCTCATGGATCCTAATGCTTTTTGCATTGGGCCAACCCAAACTCACTGTCAAATCACATGTCATAGCCAGGAGCACAGCCTGCACCACATAAACTTGGATCCACGGCTTCCTGGCAACTCCATAGCCCCAAAATGTGGTTTTGAAGCACGGATCCTTATGGATCCTAACGCTTTTTGCATTGGGCCACCCCAAACTCACCGTCAAATCACACATCATGTCCAGGGGCACAGCCTGCACCACAAAAAGCTTGGATCCATGGCTTCCTGGTCACACCGTGGTCCAAAATTGTGGTTTTGAAGCACGGGTCCTCACGGATCCTCACGCTTTTTGCATTGGGCCAACCCAAACGCACCATTAAATCACACATCATGTCCAGGGGCACAGCCTGCACCAACAAAATCACGGTTCCATGGCTTCCTGGCCACTCAGTGGCCCAAAAACGTGGTTTTAAAGCATGGATCCTCATGGATCCTCACGCTTTTCGCATTGGGGAACCCCAAATTCACCCTTTATTCAAATATCTTGTACATAACCCCAGATCTGACCACAAACATTATGGATCTGCTGCTTCATGGCCCTGGCCAGATGCTACCCTGGATATACAGGCCACTTTTTAGGTGGGTGCGCTGGGATGGAGGAAACGGAGTCGGCTGAATCTCTATCCATGAAAGATGGTCTTCCAATGGCTGGGCCAGAATGATTTTGGTTCGGTTTGCCTGCTCCCAGCTCTTCATGGGGCGCAATAGTCACCTGTAGCCGCCACCAGGAGTCCCGGTGTGATCCTGGCTGCTTCTGTCTCTATGGAGCCATTGGTCACAAATGTAGCCAAACTGGCATTTTTTAATCTATGTCAGGTTAGGCGATTGGTACCGTACCTGTCCCTTTCCAGCCTATCCATGGTGATCCATGCAGTAGTCAGCTGCAGACTAGACTACTTTAACTTGCTGTACACCTGAGCCGGGGAGGGCAGGGCATAAATGCGATAGAGAGAGAGAGAGAGAGAGAGAGAGAGAAATGCAGGGCTACCCTTGAGACTGCTCCAGAAACTCCAAATGGTCTAAAATGCATGAGTTCTTACTTGGACTTTGTGGAGAGCCCACATTCAGTTGGTTGTTCATCAGCTGGATTGGCTCCAGGTGGAGTATTGAATCAGGTTCAAGGTTTTGGTGCTAATCTTTAAAGTCCTAAACAGTCTGTGACCTTTCTTATCTGTGGGAATTATCTTCCAATACACCCCCATGAGTGTGACGCTCATCTAAGAGCAACCTACTGGTGGTCCCTGGCCCAAAACATATCCAGCTGTCCTCGACCAGAGCCAGAGCCTTTTTGGTGGAACGCTTTGTCTAATGAGACCAGGGCTCTGTGGAATCTATCTCAGTTCTCTCACTTGTCATGGTGAGTGGGCTTGCACATTCCTATGACCCTTGTGAGTGAAGCCGTCGGGAATCTCGTACTCCCAGCAGGGTCACCCAAGGCAGTAAGGTCAAAGAAAATTAAATATGCTCACAGTCCTGTAGTGATTTCATGCTCTTTATTGCAGCTTGTAAAACAGTGACTGAATTTCCCCCCAAACCTCAGGCCTTTATATACATTATTTACACAATGAGTCCCGTGTGATTGGCTGATTCTGCTTCCCTCCTGGAGCCTAATTAGTCTTTTCCTGCAAGCCAATCAGTTCTTGCATTCTAGGATCCTACTTGCCTATTGTTCTAGGATCCAAGCTTAGTACATAACAGGGAAGGAGCTAGACAAAGAATGATGCAAGAAGTCCTCAATGGCAGAACAGGCGGATGATAGCAAGCAGGTTGTTACAATGGCTGTGAAGGCAGATGAAGGCTGCAGCAGATAGGATCCACCAGTTCGTCGTGACTACTCATGCCATCAGAACAGAGTCCTACTGCGAAGACTGTGCGTTGGTCAGTGTGCACTGATCTCTACACATAAAACAAATTCACGCACAGGCGTCTTCCAAAAACCCAACCCAACCCCCGCAAACCCTCCCCCCCATGGCGATCACTAAATGGCTACGGAGGCAGGAATGTGAAATCTGGAAGCCCCTAGTCATGAACTGACACATGGGCGGTCAGTCATTCTGACTCAAGGAATGAGGCAGTTGAGCAGCTCAGCAGCTGTATCCATGACTGAGCAGCTCTTTTTAGGATCCACTCTGCTCACCCCGAAAAGGGGAAGGGGCTGGAAACAGTGCCCTAAACATAGTCTGCCTCCCTTTTTCCCTGACTGATTACCGTGCCCAGTGGGGTCACCACCCAGGGGTCGTAAAAGACAATTGAACTTTGGAACATGGAATATATGGACTTTGTCAGATAACACAGACAGCGAACGTCCTAAACGCAGCGCTTCAAGACTCTCGAAGAGCAGGCGAGGGACAACTGAAGGAAGAAAAAGGAGGCTACACATTCTTCTGGAAAGGTCTATCTGAACAAGAACATGGAATACATAGGTAGGCTTCGCTATGAAAAACGACCTTGTGAAGCTCCTGTTAGAAGTCCCTACTGGCATTAATGAGCGACTCTCAACCCTTCGAATAAAGCTCACAAAAACCCAACAGACTACTATTATAAGCACTTATACACCAACACTGGATGCTGATGAAGACATTAAAGAAATTTTTTACTCTCAGCTGGATACCATCCTATCAGAGATGCCTAAGGAAGATAAAATTATCCTTCTGGGTGATTTTAATGCAAGAGTTGGGTGAGATTTTGATCTGTGGCCTGGGACTATTGGGAAAGAAGGAGTTGGCAACAGCAACCAGGATGGAATCTTACTTTTGACGATATGTGCAGCGCACAACCTTGTTATTACCAAAACACTCTTTTGACAGAAAAATAAATTTAAAACTTCATGGAGGCATCCTCGGTCAAACCACTGGCACCTCTTAGGCTATGTTATTGTCTGTGCTAAAGATCAACGTGATGTGCTCCTTACCAGAGCTATGACGAGCACCAACGACTGCTGGACAGATCACCAACTAATATGCGCCACGATGGCTATCAAGATTATACCTCAACGCAGGCTTCAGGGAAGAAAACCAAGGCACAAAATGAACACTCAAGCCCTTCACGTTCCCATTAAGCGGGATTGCTTCTAAATGACTCTTAAGGACCATCTGCTTTCAGAATTTCCTGATAACATCAAGGAACACTGGACCAAGCTAAAAACATCCATTATTGCAGTCTGTGAACAAACTATTGGATACCAAACCAAGAAACACCAGGACTGGTTTGATGAGAATGACAGTGAGATTGAATGCCATGATTGACAAGAAAAGGAAGGCATTCCAGATCTGGCAAAGAGAAAGAAACTGTGCCACTAAGAAAAAAAACATATGCCAATGCTAAGAACCAGAGAACCAAAAAACACCTGGTGGATAAAAAAAAAAGCTCACGAGATCCAGCACTTAGCCGACACTCATGATGCACAGAGTTTCTTTAAAGCCACAAGAGATCCAGCACTTAGCCGACACTCAAGCTCAAGAGATCCAGCACTTAGCCGACACTCATGATGCACAGAGTTTCTTTAAAGCCACAAAGACCATCTATGGACCAATAAATCATGGCATATGCCCCCCTACGCTCAGCAGATGGTACCACACTTCTAAAAGATAAAGAAGCTATTGCACTGTGCTGGAAAGGACACTACCAACATCTCCTTAACCACAACTCCCCCATAGCTGCTGAGGTCCTCTCACAAATCCCGCAAAAACAAATTATAGATGTGCTTGCAGTATCTCCAAATCTGGGAGAGTTGTGTACAGCTATTAACCAAGTGAAAAATAACAAAGCCAGTGGACCTGATGGGATACCTGCTGAAATCTTCAAAGTGGGTGGAACTGAACTTACACAACAACTTCACAAGCTCATCAAAAAAATCTGGGAGAGAGAAGCGATCCCAGCAGACTTCAGGGATGCCAAAATTATCAATCTCTTTTTAAAAAGGTGACAGAACTGGGTACAGCAATTGTCTGCTGCAGTGGGGATTGCCTAGTGATAAATATGCTGTTTGCTTGAACCTGGAGGAAAAGAAAGACCCCCCAAAAAGCTGTAAGAGAAGAAGTAGCTCCTCTCCTGCCAGTTGGCATTTTACATCATGGGTAAAAACAATGGTTTCGTCTACCGTGGTAGCTAACTGTACCATATAAACTACCCAGAAGCAACATGGAGGAAAGTAAGACACAGAATGGGCCAAACTTGAATGAATCCATGTATTTGTTACAGTAAATTTATCTTTCCGCTTTCTCATCTGTGCCAGTATGTGCATATGACCCCAGTGATGACTCCAGTTGAAAGGTGTTTGTTTTTTTAAGAGATCTGGAAGATCAGGAAAGTGAAACCTCAGGTACCAGGGCAGAATGTCTCCACACTGAGCATATTGCAAAAGAAGTTATCAGAGCATGGAGTTCAAGACATTTCTGTCCGAAAGAGGTCGTAGCTGGTGAACCTGCTGCAGCTGAAAAAGGCACTCCTAGCCACTGAAGTCATCTGAGGCTCCAATGACTGTGTTAAATCCAGGAATATCTCCAAGCTCCTTCCAGGGGAGTGCAACCGCATCCAGGGCAGGCCGTCTCCCCACCTCTTAGACATGAGAAATGAGGACACGCAACACCTCTGTCTTTTCAAGATTCTGCTTCTGTTTATTGGCCCACATCCAGCCCATCACTGCCTTTAAGCACTGGTCTAACATCTCAACCACCTCTCCTGTTTCAGATGGAACAGAGAGCCAGAGCTAGGTATGATCTGTATATTGATGGCACTTTGCTCCAAATTTGTGACACCAAGAATCAGATGCCTGAGGTGACCACTATGTCCAATGGTAGGACTGGCTGCTGGGGTGAGGCAACAATAAGTAAAAAGGCTGCCTATTTAGTTGGTATCATTCATGAATAATACTACAGTATGTTGCAATTCTGAAGAGAAGCCCATGTGGTTTGCTAATCCCTCATCTCCATAACAAACAACCCCTGATTCATTCATGTTAAGCTGTTGGCAGAAATCAAAAGTATAACAGGAATACATTTTCACCCTCATGAAAGAAAGAACTAGCAGTGGAAAAGCATGTCTTGGCCCTTCTTATATGTGGTTTGTAATCTGTGTTCAATACATCTGATTCTTGGGAGCCAGGGTTGCTGTGACTCAAAATGATGGTGCATGCCTCTGCTGGTATTAAGGCATATTATAAGCTAGGGGAGGCAAAGCAATCTAAAAGTTACAGTGGACAAACAGTAGGAAGCAGCTGTTGCCTTCATGCTTCTGACTTCCCAGAGAGCTTTGGCTGGAAATAGAATGGACCATCAATGATGATATCACTTCCTCCTTGTGATACACAAATTCCTAATTCAGGGATGGGGAAACCTGTGGCTTTCCTCATGTTGTTGGACTTTAAATTACATCCATCCCAGCCAAGATGACCAGTGGTCAAGGATGGTTGGAATTGCAGTATGATGGCAAACATTGCCTACCCGTATCTATTCTCATTATGATCATCATGGTAGATGTGAGAAGAGCCTGTGAGTTTTGATTCTTTGAGCATGGCAAGTTGATCATATGCAAACACTGCCATGCAGAAAATATAATTTTGCTGGGAACCATGAGAAAAAGGACTTCTTAATGCATACAGAAAATTAAATAAAGTATAGAGGCATGGTTGGTGCACCATAGACTGGAAACCAAAGAGCAAGCAACCTCTATAGGCTAAAGTGCCATGGTTAGGAGAATAGGCTCGTAGTCTTTAATCAGAGTTATTTTAGAACATAGTGTCTCTCAATCAGTTGGAAAGAACAAAATGGTTGTGTTCTCTTTTTTTATTAAATGCAAAATACTTGGGACAGCAATGGCCCCACTGTCTGGCCTTTGGCAGATTTCAGGTTTTGAATGAGTAGAACATAAGAAAGTGTGTGCCTCTTTGTATAAGTGTAACCCATTAGAAAATATAATACATGAATCAGAAAGGTGGAGTCTAGGTTTGCTCAGATCTCTTACATCCTTCAGGCTAGCCCTGTTCGCCTAAGCAGGTTTAAGAATTCAATATATGCTTACTACCCATTTTTCAGAATGGTGTTAGAAAAATTATCCCAGGCTGTTTAAAGTATATAAGAGGTCTGGTTATTTCACAGTGGGCAGGGAACTAGTGAAGCCTGTGACCGAGATACAGGCAATCAATAGCAATTTTCATGCTGACAAAATATAGTCACCTGCTAGAAAACTTAGGCTGCTGGAATTATATCATCTATCTCTATTTGTTTTTCAAGAGTGCTGTAGAACTTAATGATCAAATATAAGGCAGTAACCTTCAGGGAATGTGTGGTGTCCTTTTGCAAAAGAAAATGGCATTTTATTACCAATCCATTTCAGGCAAAAGGGGATAGGGGAAAACGTAACTCACAACCCCAGCATGTTAATTTCACACAAAATCCCTTATCTAATCAGAAGAGGTCCTCACTTCACCCTAGTAACCAAAATCAAGAGCCATCTCTTGACACCACTGAAGAGCTTTTTCACATTAATGCTGGCTGCCTAGTGGGAAGAATCAACTATTGGAATAATTCCAGGGAATTCTGTATTATTGTGAGGTTTTTATTTTATTTTAATTTTTTTAAAAGAGACTGGTATTTCATCCCAGCAAAATTATATATAAGCAGACAAAATACTGATCCTCAAAATACAAATAATACAGCTACTGGTAACACATATGCGGTACCCAAAATCTTGCTGGCACACAATCTGTAAATTTCTTTCCCTAAAAAATAATACTGATGTTTGTGGAAGGGAAAGGCAGAACTCACATTTTGCATAATACAAATTATTTGTACAGTGGTACCTCAGGTTAGATACACTTCAGGTTACATATGCTTCAGGTTACAGACTCTGCTAACCCAGAAATAGTGCTTCAGGTTAAGAACTTTGCTTCAGGATGAGAACAGAAATCATGCTTCGGCAGCGCGGGAGCAGCAGGAGGCCCCATTAGCTAAAGTGATGCTTCAGGTTAAGAACAGTTTCAGGTTAAGAATGGACCTCCGGAACGAATTAAGTACTTAACCCGAGGTACCACTGTATTGTAGAAAGTATGACTGCTATTAACTGCTATGTGTGGGTGGAGAAAAGGAGTCTCAGTACAATAAAAGGGGGATTGGTAAAATAATTTTGTAGTCTCGTTGGTTCATGCTTTAGTTGAGGGGCTCCCAAACTGTGGTCTGTGAATCACCAGTGTTTTGCGAGCTTCATTCCTGTTGTCTGTGGCATTTCTGTGGATTTGTGGTTGAAGACAGAAGATGGCACATCCATCATGTTAAATATCCATACTCATTTCAATTGTATTTTTATTGCTTCTTTTCATTCTTTTATATTGCATTTTATTGTATTTGAGATCAAAATCACCAAGTCATCTGCCAAAAGCCTCAGCAGTCTTCAAGGGGTCAACAGGAGGGAAAGGTTTGGGAACCACTGTTCTAGTTACCACCAGATTAGATTACTATGATGTGCTGTACAAAAGACTGTCCTTGAAGTTCTGATGTGTCTTAGAACCTGCCTGTGTTCTCTCTCTCCTCTCACACAAACAAACTGTTTTCAGTACTATGGTTAGGCACTGCACAGAGTTTGGCCATTGCATCCAAGATCTGGAGTAGCCTCCTGCTTTTAGACAGTCAGCAAATAGTTTTTCACTTTGGTGAGCTTTTGCAAATTATTTCCATTAAGTTTATTTTACACTAATGCTTCCTTTTTAGCTGATTGTGATATGTGTTGTTATTTGTATTATTTATGTATTATCTTAGTTCTCTTGTTTTGCAACTTGCCTTGAGAAAGGTGGGAAATACATTTTGAGCATCATTTTTAAAAAGCTGCTTCTGAAAGATGATTGGGAGAAAAATCTGTTTTTTGAAATTTTTAAGAGGGAAATTTAGCTTTGGATAGAATACATTCTTTGGAATACATTTGCCACTTAACGTAAGTAAAATTACAGCACCACACTTATTTATTAGGTATCGAAATGTGGTTTGCATGGGTGCCCTTGTTTCTGCACCTGATAATCATTCTATTTCTGGTTCCAAACAGGACTTCAGTATGGACAGAGACCTCAAAGATTACAGCAACAGGACACTTGCCACAGAGAACAACTCAGCCCCTTCCAAGGGCTCCCATTTTCCTACCTGGGAAGACTATAAAAACAGCGTAGAGGACATTCAGTACTTCCTGATTGGGCTTTACACTTTCATCAGCCTCGCTGGCTTCATAGGAAACCTGCTGATCCTCATGGCTCTAATGAAGTGCAAGCAAAAAACCATAATAAACTTCCTCATTGGCAACTTAGCCTTTTCCGACATACTAGTGGTGGTCTTTTGCTCTCCCTTCACCTTGACCTCAGTTCTACTTGATCAGTGGATGTTTGGCGAAGTCATGTGCCATGTAATGCCTTTCCTCCAATGTGTGTCTGTCCTGCTGTCCACCTGGATGCTGATTTCCATTGCTGTGGTCAGGTACCGTTTGATCCGCCACCCTCTTTCTAGTAACCTGACGCTGAGACACGGCTGCTACCTCATTTTCACCATCTGGACTCTTGGTTTAGCCATTTGCTCCCCTCTGCTTGTTTTCCACAAGCTCGAAGATCTCCACCTGGAAGCACTGAAAAGCAAGCGCTTGTGTGTGGAGTCTTGGCCATCTACATGCTACAGGGTTGCATTCACTATTTCCTTGTTGCTCATGCAGTACATTTTGCCTTTGGTTTGCCTCACCGTCAGTCACACCAGAGTCTGCAGGTCCGTAAGTTCCAGATTGTCAGGCAAAGAAAACAAACTGGAAGAGAACGAGATGATAAACTTAACCCTCCATGCACCCAAGAGCCGGGGGCCTCAGGGACAGCTCTCTAGCTCCGAGAGGTGGAGTTATACTTTGGTTAGGAAGCATCGGAGGAGGTACAGCAAAAAGACAGCTAGCGTGGTGCCAGCAATATTAAGGCACCATCGGGGCAATACTTCTGGGGATCTCCCTGAAACATCAGGGACAGAAAGAAGTCAGCTTTCGTCCAGCAAATTCATCCCAGGGATTCCCATCTGCTTTGAGGTGAAACCAGAGAGTTCCGAAACACAGGATGGGATTACAATAGCCCGATCCACCACTCGGATTCGGAAAAGGTCTCGGAAGGTTTTCTGCCGACTGACGGTGCTGATTATAGTTTTTGCAGTCAGTTGGATGCCTCTTCACGTTTTCCACGTTGTAACAGATTTTAATGGCAATCTCATCTCAAACAAGCATTTTAAATTGGTGTACTGTATTTGTCATTTGCTGGGCATGATGTCCTGCTGTTTAAATCCCATTCTATATGGATTTCTTAATAACGGCATAAAAGCTGATTTGATGGCCCTTATTCCATGCTTACCATTATCATAAAACTGCTGTAAATGGAACAATAAAACAAATTAGTATCCTCGCAGGTTCAAACTGTGAACATATCTGACTGCTTGCGGGAATGCGTTACGGAAAGTTCCTGTTGTCCATTTAATGTGACAAAGGTTAACTCGGTGGTTGGATGATTTGATAACACTTCTCAGTTTGTAAACATGCCAGGTGTCAAGGTTTGACTGGTCAATCTACAATCCTCTCATCATTCCCTCTATGACAACCACTCATGTCAGATTTTCTGTCAGGAGGCATCTATTTGATGTACAAAAGAAACAGATCGTTTTCAATATGTACACTATGGGTGGCATCCAGCAAAGTATTTCTGGTAGTGCAAGGATTCCGACTTGTGCAAGGTAACTTCCCCTCCCTTTACCCATAAACCCCATGCTCCCCAAATCTGCTCCAGAAGGTTGGGGGAATCCCCTGGACAGATTTAAAGGATGCTCAAAGAGAAGAAACAGAGGGGAAGGTCTCCTTTGTAGTCAAAAATCCTTGTGTTAGGAGCAGTGGCGTAGCGTGGGGGGTGCAGGGGGGGCCGGCTGCACCGGGCGCAACATCTGGGGGTTAGGGTTAGGGGGCACAAATCCACGGGTTAGGGGGCGCAAATCCATGGGTTAGGGGGCACAAATTACTTGCCTTGCCCCGGGTGCTGACAACCCACGCTACGCCACTGGTTAGGAGCAGCACTGTGTTGGATGCTACCAGGGCTTTTTTTCAACAGAACTCAGTTCCTGCACTTCTCAGGTGGGCACCATTGCCATGATAAGAGAACGAGAGAGGCGTTCATGGTGAGTCCCGGAACCTCTTTTTCTAGAAAAATATCACTGGATGCTACCCTATAAGCAGAAATGCAATATCGAAACGCAGTTCCACAAAGTTCCTTCTAAAGCTGCTTTAACATCATGTCAAAGATACCTAGATTGCAAATCTTGCTAGCAGATACTTAAAACAATGTATTGTCATGAGGTAACAATCAAATATTAAGAACAATGTATCGTTGTCATGAGTGAACCTATTGCTCTTTAGGCAATATTTCTTTTTAAATAAATCGTTGGCTTCTGTGTGAATGGAATAAATAAGGCAATCTCTTTATTGCTTGATATAAATAATTTCTATTTTAAGAAACTGGTTGAATCTGGTTGAAAAGAAGCTTGTGCATACATTATGACTTTCTATTGTTTAGTACTACTGAATCAGAGTTTTTGGCTCTAGAAGCTTGCAATAGAGGGAAGGAAGAGACAATGATAAGAAATAACCAGCATTACATTTTAGCACATACCCATGTTGTGTATATTGAGGGCTGTCTCAACCACGTCATACTCAGAGTAGATCCACTGAAGTCCATGGACCTAAGTTACTCATGTCCTTTAATTTCAATGGGTCTTCTCTGAGTAGGATTAATGTGGGATGCAAGCTATGCTTTAGACAAGTACAATAGAAGCACATGCATCAGGGAACTCTTGCTTGAGATTATTTATTTATTTAGAAAAAAATTGTATAACACTTCATTTTTTTATAAAAAAAATCAAAGCGGTTTACAACAAACATACATAGATATACAGTAAAAAAAAAAGAGGCAAAAATTTAAAATCAGCATTCAGCTAATTAGTTTTGCTGGAGTGCAGCTTTGAGAGAGGAGACAGAAAAAAGTAAATACTCTGTATCACTCCTGTTTTGGAGCCGCCTACTGTATTATATCACATCAGAGACTTCAGTGGGATTGCATGAACGTAAATCCTTGCACTTTGGTATGTCTGTACTGTGGATCAAGCGGCTATACTTTAATACCAAAGTTTAGCTCAGCAAGGGGATGTCTTGCTTCTGAAAGAATTGAGCTGTGTTGCTGATCTTTTCTTTAAAGTGCGGTATGACAACTTGGTCATATCTCCCATTATATCTCTCTCAGCATAAGCATATCTTTGTGCCCCAGGAGGTGCTATAATCACATTGACTGTTTTCCGATTTGGCTACAGCTTTCCAGTTCTGCTCTAGCTGCCTCTCTAAGACCCATTGCAGAGCCTTTCTATGCTAGCTTGGCAAGTGTAAGGTTGTGTAAATAAAAGACAGATGGGACTATAGGTTTAAGGATGTCAAACTGGTACCATGAAAACATCCCATATCCCCATCATATCTGCTCTTCAATTGTAGGTGGACCTTTCAATGTTAAGTTTTCTGATTACTGGTACTCCAACATAAGGAATGGGACTCATTCCCAAAAATTGTGAAACTGCAGTATCCCCCTGTATTGGGGACAGAAGACCCTAGTGACTGTTCCTGTCATCTACCACCATTTCAGAGTGAAGAAAAGAATCTGTGGCCCCCAACCATGCTCTTACAGCTACAGTCTAGACTCTCTAACTACCCAAGCCAGTTGATACATAAGAACTGATCAATACTGCAGCCTGCTTTAAGTGCACAGTGGTGAGTTTATGTGCAGAATCCAATACAAAGTTAAAGCCTGGCAAACAAGAAATATCAACACAGATAACTGGTAGTTGATCCAGGGTCTTAAATGAAAAATTAAATTGATCTTTGGGAGCAGAACAGCAAGATCTGATAGCAACAAGCCGAGTATAAATTCATTAAATTAGACATTTTAATAAATCCATAGGCTTACAAAGAAAAACACGGGTAAATGAATGCTCAGACGAGTGTCTTTTTCTAACTTGTTATTTATATGAACACATTTAGATGAAATGAATATTATTTCATGCTGTTTTGCATTCATATTTGTGTGTGTGTGTGTGTGTGTGTGTGTGTGTGTGTGTGTACAAACATAGAATGATGATAAAATTGAATAAGCACTAAAATGTTGCAGCAGTATTTCTACCAGGCAGTCCCTTATTTTCATCCAGGCAGCATGGGATTGGTACATAGTGAAATCCTGATCTTATGGTCCTACTCGACTGGCAGCTTTTATGCTCTTGATACATTGGTGATTATGTTAGTGTAAGATAGCGCCCATCTCATGCACACCTAGTAGCAAAGGAGAGAGCAAAATGGTATCAGTAGAAATGAGATTACGTGACAACATCCAGAGAGAATGTCCATGGTAACACCATCTACCAACCACAGCAATTATGCATTAATGATGACCCCACCCCAAGCAAGGAAAGCACCAATCGATACTCAGTAATTGCACAGTATGCAGCATATATCTCCCATCACCCTTGAATACTGGCCATGCTAGCTGGGGGTGATGGAAGTCAGACTCCAACAGTCTCTGGAGAGCCACAGGTTCTCTGTCTCTACACACACAATGCACAACGAGACAGCCAATGATACCCTATAGAGCAGGCATGTCCAAAGTCCGTTTTGGGGGGCCAATCTCGCCAGTTTTATCTAGCCCCTGTCAAAAAAAAAAAAGCTCAGCAACTTCAATCCTTTCAAAAAGCTCAACTTTAATCCTAAAAACTTTGGCTGGCACTCACACATGTTCACTTCATCAAATCTGGCCCTCTTTGAAAAAGGTTTGGGCACCCCTGCTATACAGCATGCACATGCACCAGAACAAGCCCTCATAGTGCAATGGACAGGTCAGAAACAGCCACCTGCGAACTCAAGCTCCAGCCCTTTCCATAGTTTGAATCCCATGTCAGCCTGCTAACAACTGCCCTTTTGCCAGGGAAACTGTCAGAGCAAAGGAAGGCCTCACGACCTTATCATAACTGGTAACCACCCTCCAGTACCAGCACAATTCATTTTGGCACCTGAGGTAAACCACAAAATAGCTACCAGCCCATCACCAGACAATAAGGAATGAGTGAATATCTACATCAGGAACAAGAGGGCAATAAAGATATACATAAGGATCTGCTGCCCCTGTGGATCCTGCTGCTTAAGGCAGTCACCTCACCTTGCCTCATGGATGGGCCAGCCGTGTCACCCTCATTACCCAGCAGGTAGGAAGCCTGCACGGAGAACCCATGGGCCCCCAAAAGGTAAGGGCCCGAATCTCACCATGGGAATAATGTTCCCACAGAGATTGTTTTCAAAACACTCCACCAAACGCACACATTGGCGTCTGTGTGAGGGGAACAATCATTTTGCAAGGAAGAATAGCAGCAGCAACAAGCTTAAAGCAGGCCATACCAGGAGCTGCCTGGTAAATCTGTGGGCAGCTTCTGGTAAGAGCAGCAGAATGGAAACCAGGAGATACACAAGGCTTGCCATAGGGAGAGGCTGAAATAACTTGAGCTGTGGTCCCCATTGCCTTACTAGTGCCTCATCATTTATTTTCATAATGCATGGAGCTTTCCTGCTTATTTCTTTGAATGGTCCCTGAGTTGGATGTGAGTCACTAATGTGCATCTCTGCTTTACAAAGGTACTGTTTTACAATGTTTTACATGGGATCCATACAAAACCTCAAAACAAGACTTGTCCTTTGCTTCTCTATCTAAGGTGTGGATTCTGTCCACAATCATTGTCTCGTTGGCAACACTAGCCATAAATGATTTCACACCTCCTGGTGATTGAATGCTTATTAAAGGATACTGTTATGCTTATGAAAAGACAAACATATTGGACTATTGACTTTCATCAGCTGGTTATAAAGATCAAATCAATTTATGAAGGAAACAGGATGAAGATCAGCACAGCACCTTTGACAAAGCAGTCCCCATGAAGCCTGGAATAACTCATCTATGAAACTCTCACTCTGTGATATGACTCTCTTGCTGAAATGTGTCAGATAGGTGACAAACAAGTGAGCCCAGCAGGAAAATCCTCTTGCATCCTAGAGTTTAGAACAGGGAGGGCAAACCCAGGGACCGGACTTATAAAAAATATTGGGGGCCCGGGAAAGGCTCAGAAAGGCAAATAAAGTGGCCTGGCGTGCTGCGCCTATTAATAGCTCCAAAGGAAATTGGGTGGAGCTTTTGCTCGGGAGGGAGGGCAGGAGGCATGCAGCCCGCCCCTCCCTGTGCATTTTGGGCTGGGGGAGGGGCGGCGATGGCGCTCTGCTGGAGGGGCGCCGGAGATTATTGGGGGGGCGGAGCCCCCCCAAACGAATTTTTGAGGGGGCTCGGGCCCCCTCAAGCCCCATGGAGTTGGCGCCTATGGGCAAACCTGTGGCCTGCCAGATTCAAGAGAAACACAATAACAGCTAGCTTTTAGCTGTTGCTCAGTCAGTGGGTAAGACTAATGATAAGTAAAACACTGTTGTCTCGGTTCTCTTCTCTGCTGGTCTTCCCTAGGTAGGCTGTCTGATTATATCCATGTAACCAAAGGGAATTTTAAGAGCATGGTATAATGGTTGGACAGTGTTCTCGAAGCTACAAACATGAGTTTGACCAAGCTGTGGGAGGCAGTGGAAGACAGGAGTGCCTGGCGTGCTCTGGTCCATGGGGTCACGAAGAGTCGGACATGACTAAATGACTAAACTACAACAACATAATAAATATTTATTTTGTTTATCAACACCCACTATGAATCTATCAGTAATGACAGATATGGGCTATAGGCAACCTGCTTTCTCTCCATCCCATCCCAGTGGCACTTTATTGCACCAATATACAGCAGGACACAGTCACTTCTAAGATATTT